GCGGAAGTACTGGTAGGCCAAAGTGCTACGGAACCACTGGTATTATTCGAATTTCCGCAAAGGGTTTTGTAAGAAGTCCTGCGGAAGTTCCCATTTTCAGATTCATTTATGCAATAGTAAACAAAGTCCTTCGGAACTTCCGCAAATTTGTCTTTCCTGCGGAAGTTCCGATGAATTGTCTGAGATTATTTGTTGATAAGCAAAGCGCTCATAAAGAGATTTCTCACACCAATATCCGTCTCAAGTTGTAACAGACGCTCTAATAACAAATTAAAATTCAGCAAAGAGATTTGGGTTGCGACTATCAAACTCTACGATAGCAGAAACCGTCCAAACTCACATGAACATAGTATTTTGCTTTCAAACGGTCTCCCATCGTCTTCAGGTCGATTGGATACTCTATGTAGTCGTAATATTCAGGCACCTACAAGATCTCGATGAAAGGCAAGAAAATTACTTAGGTAACCAACCATTTCGGCATCTACTGGAGCTAAGAATGGCCAGGCCCATTTATCGGCATTGAGTCTTTTCAAAATCGTCTTGATTTTGCTCTCCAGCTCGTCATCCCTTTCTGGCCTCTCATCATCACTACAATTTTCCAAACCTGGGATATCCTTGAATCTGAGTCCCTCGCCAGCTGAATGAAATTTTTTAGAAAACCAGGAAAAAAATAACGAGAAAGTGTTACTACCATGTGCTCGGAATATATGCTCAATTCCACCGTATTTTCTTGTTTTGTTTGGATATTTTACCTCTCCCATGGCTTGATGTATGTCACGAACAGATTTCATGTACGATGAAAACTCCGTATAACGCATTCTATAACAAAAATATGACCTTTCACCATAACTATGTGGAAGTGTGCTTACTGTGGATGAAGCTGACAGCCCATGAGCGTTGCTCCTTCATATTCCTTTATATAGCCTTGATAGAGCTTTTTGGGCATCTCGACATTCGCAGAAAAGCCTTGTTTGCTGAAAAGAACACAACACGTTGTAAAAAAAAACAAAAAGAAATACAAAAAACAAGAAAAAAATGAAAAGAATGTGCAATGCATGAAAATGATTGTGAATACCTGAAGTAGCCGATGGCAAACTCGTCAGCAAAAGTCAAAAGATGATAATTCCCGCATTGTACTTGATAATCTTTCAAATGATTCATCAAATGAGTACCATAGCCTTTCACCTAAAAATGGTAATATTTATCCATTTTCCCAGCTCGAAACCAGCAATTCGCAGTCGTTCTTGCAAAATCATCACATGTAAGAGGTAAAAAGTTTTCATATGCACTCGAAAACTAGAAAATACTAGAGCAGTAGAAAATATCGTCCAAACATAGAGTAAGAAATTAGCATCTCCATATCTGAAAAAGTTGCAAACCTGTTCATTCGCTGTGATGGCGCAAAACACGATCTCAATGAAACCTTGCGTTGGAAAAGGCCTGAAGCAGATGCCACCAATTACGCCTTTGCCTGCAATAAGTTCCATAAGATTAACTCATGCATGCAAAATGCAAAAAAAAACACACCTTTCTTAAGGAGTACCATGCTCCTATGCCTATCATCAAATACAAGCCGAGTGATGTATTCTTTCGGCATTTTCGGAAGCTGGACTGAGAAGAGACTTTGCAGTTGAAGCAGATGGACCATTGTTTCGCGACTTTGGAAAGGCTCGAGGGAATTCCCAATGACTTTGAATCTGAAAAAGAAATTGCCTTCTAACCATTTGAACAATGAATGATACCGAGGCCAAAAAAGAAATGATGTCGATTATTCAGAATCAAAAAAACTTTATTCTTTTAAACTTACTCGATGATTCCTTTCTTCTCCTCCATTCGAGCTGCTTCACCACGGCACACGTCTAGATTTATTGCATCTAAAGGATCCATTGGATCCTCAACGAAGTCTTGAGCCTAGATACAATAAATGTTGATTGCAAATAGAAATTGACGTCTGGTGTCTTACATCATTCGCAAGCTTCACGAGTGTCTTCACGAATAGA